ATATATATATATATAGTTAATATAAATACATATGTTATTAGTTTTATATATATACATATATAATTAGTTTTTTAATATAACAGCATATATTTATATTTGTATTTCAGGGACCATGACCAGTACCTGACCGAAGCTAAGCGACTAAAGCACAATGCCGATGAAGAGAGCGATCTTACGGCACAAGGCATGATGTATCTAGAGGCTGCTCTGTATTTTCTTCTAACAGGCGATGCGATGGAATCAGACTCAGTTACAGAAAAAGCATCATACACTATGTACAAAGATACTCTTAGTCTTATCAAGTGAGTACATTTTTAATTAAGATGCGTACACGTGCAGTAAAAAGAGGAGAGAGTTTGCTAATTAAAGTGTTTTTTCCTTTGTTTTAGATACATCTCGTCGAAATTTAAGAGCCAATCGAACAATTCACCTGAGAATAGCATACACACTAAGCTGGCTATCTTGAGGTGAGTGCATTTCCTCTTCTTTCAATCGTACAAACAATATCGTACAAGCGGACGAATGCGTCTTAAAATTATAATTTGTCTTTCTAGCCTTTGGTGTCAATCACGTTTGTATTCCAAATTATACAACATGCGCAAACAGGAAATGAAAGAGGTCCAGAAGATCGTCAATGACTTCAATCAAAAGGTGAGTGATTTTTTATTGGATCATAATTATGTTGCCCAATGTGATAATTATTTCAAACATATTACAATTCTCATTTTATTACGATCTATAACTATCCTAGATATAAATCGGCCCTAGATATAAATAAGTTCTAATTCTTGAAAAATGTATTTCAGCAATCTCAGCAATCAGCAGCTCAGATAATACCTGCTCAGGCGGAAGGACAGGGCACGCCTTCTCTTTCGCCAACACCATCGCCCGCTGGTTCTGTAGGTTCCGTCGGTAGTCAAAGTTCCTCCGGATATAGTAGCGGTGGACAACATCCGGCACAACAACAACAACAACAACAACAACAACCACCGGTACAACAACCACCGGTACAACAACCACCGGTACAACAACCACCGGTACAACAACCACCGGTACAACAACTACCGGTACAACAACCACCGGTACAACAACCACCGGTCAATGGCCATATTAGTGTGCCATTACAAGTCTTCAATGCGATGGTAAAGCAAAATCAGTGTTCAGGCTTACTTATGAATGGCCACGACCTATGGGACCAGGCAATAAAGCAGGCGAGACAGGAAGAGAATAGAAGTACGTATTGGAAAATAAAACACATCAGATGAATCTCGTTTTGATTTATATAATTATTTAATGACCGGTTTATTTTTTTGCGTTATCAGGCTTTTTCATCGATTTGGATCGAAGATTGGGACCCTTGACATCGTATAGCTCACTACGTGAGCTTGTGCGTTACGTTCAAGCGGGTATAAAGAAATTGCGAGCTCTCTGACCACAGTGGCATAGCCCCCGACCACCCACTCCAAACTACGTTACCTCCCTTCCACAAAATATGGTCACTTATCCGACCATGTACACGTAGTTGCATAGCATCGTTACGTCGGTGACTTGTTCATCAACAGCCGGCGATGTGTGGAAAATGAGAAGGTGCGATAGCGATGATACAGCAAAATCATGGACTATTTTCTTAAGAAGTGGTCTCGGGGAAGGGAAGGAAGGGGGTGCAACGATCGGGTGAATCGATAATGGGGGTCACAGCAATCTAGAAAAAGGAGAGAAAACGAGAGCAGCTCGTGAGATTCTCCTTTAGTCGGACGACGTAGGGGCATTCTTGATATAAATTTAGCAGCAAGTTTATAGTCAATTGCAAAGCGCGTGCCTGAGGGGGCGAGGGGAAAAGCGACCGATCGAGAGAGAAGTCGCTTTATCTTACCATGGTGCATAAACAAACCTCGTGCACTTTGTTAGAGCACGTGTTACTTACTCTCGAGGCGCAATGAAGAATCATTGAGCGGAGATGATATCGAGACGCTCGCGAGTGCATTAGATTTCTAGCAAGCCGCAGTGATAACTCGTGTCTATTTTTTCCGAGGTGTCCGCTTTTGTAAATTAACGCATAGATATCGACACTGGAGGGAGGGGAAGAAGGGAGGGAAGAAGGAGGAATTAGGAAGAAAAACCGAATACGAGAAAAGAGAAGTAAAACCACTGATGGGGTAGAAAGAAGTGCCACGTATAAGCGCCCGTGTGTTCTCGCTTCACGGTGCGCCCGCAGCCGACGTTACCTGAAGCATGAGTATCGTTTCGGCGATTCAAGTGCGATGAATATAAGGGATATACCTATTTAATATATATAGTTTATTACCTATATAAATATATATAAATAGTTATAAAGATAAGAATATATTTAATAACGCGAAAAGAGATAAAGCATCTCGCGCGCCGGCGCCGCGTTTCAGTATAGGGGAACAGATGACAGTTGTATTCGCGAATGTGAGGAGATAACATGAAAAAGAAAGGGAGATAGAAGAGCAAGATTAGAATGACTTCGATGGAGGGATACGCGAGCAACAGGATCAACAACCAGAATCAAGCGATAATGCTATAGTTAAACTATAGTTTTAACGTTTGCGTGCGAAGCACACGACTCTTTTTTGTAGATAGATGGGGGAAGTAATTTAGATTAGAGTAATTAATATGCAAACAAGAAAAGCAGTAACAGATGCGATTATACCAATACATATTATTTACATTACCTAGAGTTAATCGGGAAAATAAGTAGAGGTTCTAGTGCGATTGAAAAGTAAAGGAGAAAAAAATAATAGTATACACACATATACCAATAGCATAATTTAATGAAACGCAAGCGAGGGAAGAACAAAGCGAGGTAAACGCACGTTAAAAATTAGAAGGTGAACAATGGCAAAATGTATTTGTGACAAATATAATATTCGAGATTACTACTCGCAAATAAATTTCGCCTGGAAGAGGTGAATGTCCCTCTTGCGCGCACGACATGAGATGCTAATGGAAAAATAATGAGAAGAACAGGCGCAAGCGGATAAGCAAGTTGCTCATGTGTATATTTTTGTAAATAGATATTTGTGAGTGCCGCCGTCTTGAGGGCGACCTACCGTTGTTGAGTTTGCGGTAGATCGGCCCGCCCCAATTTTTGCTACCACAGATCTTGTCGAGAATCGGATAAGAGATTATAAATAGGGAAAAAAGAGATATGAGAATACATAACGAATCGACACACGACGAAATGTCCGTTGAATTTAATTTCAAAAGAGAAACATGCTCTCCGTGCTTTTTTTTCCTTTGAGAACAGCATTTACGTTATTCTCTTAGATTTTCTGGTCTGTTTTCCATTTTTTTACGATCGCTTCTCGATTGGAAAATCTTATTTAATCGAAGAAAATTCTAAACGTGCGTCGCGGCAGCTTCGTTGTTCCCAAATTTACCGGTGATTTGATTCACCTCACTTTTCAAACGCATCTTTTCCCCCGCATTCGATCGATGAAGATTTGAATAGATTGCGATTTAGCAGCGGGAAATAACGTGAATGGCACTTCAAAGTTTCATTTTCTCGATAAAACGAAATTTGACGAAATGAATTAGTGAAGTTTGAATCCACAAATCGAAGAGATTCTTATCAGATCTGAGATCAACACAATAGTTTAATACATATCCTAAATTTAATTTTCCTAAGTGATTAATATCGCCCAAACAGAGGATGTGACCGATAGGCATACTCTGAGACCGTAGGACCAATTATTATTTGTATAACTGTTACAATAAAATTATATTGCCCCATTGCTGACGTTCTGTTGGCAATGCCAGAAAAGATGAACATAAAAGAAAAACGCAGGCGGATTGGCGGGATGACGATGGCCCATAGTTATTAAGCGCGGTCCAATGGTTCACGGGATACAATTTTATATTTCACGAGTGTGGTAAAGGATAAAGAGAAGAGACTAAAAGAAAAAAAAAATAAATAAAATTTTAAAAAAGGAAAAGAAGTCTATTAAGAAGCTTCGAGAATATTTTCGAGACACATATTTATAGCAGATACATATATCAGGCCCATTTTCTCGCCAGGCCGACCGCCGAAAAAAAATGAACGAAATGCAAATTTGAGATATCAAATCGCAAGTTCGATGTGATTTATCGAGGAAATGAAAATAAATATGGAATATTTATTACGATTGCATGCAGAGGATGAGTTTGCGACGAGTGGAAAAAGAGATTGTCGGTTTATGTAAATAATTATCGGTTTTTAGATAGATTTTTCTTTTTATAATGTTCTTTTCGATAATTTCGGGCTGATGTATGTTCCTGTATGACTTCCAAAGATAAGTAAAAGGTGCTGTCCGTAAGGGTGCCGCGTAAAGCAGCAGCGAATTTAGATCAGAAAACACATTCGTCTCTTTTTAGTTCTTTTTGCTTTTTTTCTTTTGATCCCCTCTCCCCCTTTTTTCTATATCGATCAATGTAGTTGCATCGTCAATGGAATTGCGTCGCTCGATATTTTTTGCTACAATTCTATTATAAACTATTATTAAACTCATCGTTACTGTTATTGTTAACATTGACGATATTATTGGCGATAGACAACAGTAAAAGTAATAATGATAGATATAGATGGTAATAATTAATAATAGTAACAGTAACGATGTTACTATTTACTATGTAATGGTTATTATGTTATGAATAATATTATATCGTTATTCTTTCTTTGAGATATTTTAACGAGTGAGAGCGCATAAGACGAAGTGATGCGTGAAGGGTGGAATGCGGAGACATTGCGTCGCGCACACAGAATGTACATTATTCCTACTCATTGCGAAGCTGTGGAGGTTTCAATCGGGCAGACATGGTCGTGCGATAGATATCGCCCTCGTATTTGTAAAAGACCTTAATAGAGAGAGTTTGATTGCGCCGTTTGATTTTGGTCTTCTTAGCCTCTACCCCTCCTCACGCCCTTACCACACCACTCTGTACTTGTAAAATATTTATACATGTGTATATATGTGTGTACATATATATGTGTATGTATACATATACATACATATACATACAACACATTGCGTGTACATACACATATAAATATGTAAGGAGACGAGAAATATACATACACGCAATTTTAATTATGATTATATTATATATTATTACATTAATAATTATTACATTGATGATTATACGCAATAATTATTTTCCTATATTCGTACAGGACGTATTGTGTACTATCCAATTTTTCTGAATATGAAACGGGTGTTTTATCGCCGTTAGATTGTACTGCTCCATCCGTCGTGATTGTGCCAAAAGAAAATGAAATATTATGCGTTATGCAAGTTCGCATCTTCGCACAGCCACATCGATTGTTTTTAAAGCAAGTTCACATTATTCTTCGCATATTTTCATCATTGAAATCCTCCGATAATATTATAATAAGAAATGGATGAGTTCCTTTGATTATGTTTTTGTTCACAACATAAAAAGGCTCGATTTGAGATATCCTTATCTATCAAGATTGATAGCAAAAAATATTTTTTAAAAAACATAATATTGTATTGTCTTTTTAAATATATTTTTAATATTTTGAATATGTTTTAATTTTGAATATGTTTACTATTAAAAGAAACATACTTAAGACATGTCCAAAGTCGATACAAACTAAAAGTAACATAACGTCAAATGTTATAATTTCATACTTCACACTGTAATTGTTAAATAACATCTTGAATTATATTACATTTATATTGTGGAGCCAAATTGTAGCATTGATGCTATGTTACTTTTAGTTTGTGTCGACTAAGTATTGTTTATCAACTTTGCTATTTATAAAGCTTTCGATTAGATGAATTACAAATGTAGATTAGTTGAGA